GAATTGACTCAACAAACGGAAAATCGGGGTGAAGATTGATTATGAAAAGCTAGCATGTATCCCACATGTGGCATTAATTGTCAGATTTTACCTTACTTGTCTCTAATAAACGAAAAAAATGGAAAATTAGGGCTAAAGATTTGATTTGGCAAAATTGGAAACTCGGAGTAAAGATAGCATATGTGAGCTAAGGGTATTATGAATTCTCAGAGTTTACCCCCTTTTTCTGGAACTAATCTATTAAAACAAAGGAAAATCTGGGTAAAGATTTGACATCACAACTGTTATATTCCACTTGCATGATGAATTGTCAAAACTTATCCCGTTTTCTAGAATTCGTTGAACAAATGGAAAATCAGGGACAGATTGGACATTGCAAGTCATGATATTAACTACTCGTGAAAAGAATTGTCACGGTTTACCCAGTTTTTCTAGAGTTATTTGAACAAATCGGAATAAAGATTGGATATGGAAAAGTTATGATATTATCCACTCGTACGTTGGTTCAGAAAATGGAAAATTAGGGTGAAGATTGGATTTGGCATGTTGGGATATATTCTACTTGCTGGATAAATTGTAACAATTCAATGAAAAATGGAAAATAGCGGTTAATATTGGATATGTCAAGTTGGAATACATTACATATGCAGGGTACGAGCTATTTGATTGTTTTGATTTTCGAATGCGCTTAAAACATGGAAATGCATGGGAATGAACAGATATACCGCATTTGTAAGTTAGATCGCCGGAATTGCACCCTTTATTCGCGTAAAAGAATGTTGAGATGGGGGCAGGTATCGGAAGGTTACCCTCGGGTGAAGTCAATAATTTTAGCGGTACATTGTAGAATCCCAGCACAAAGCCTAGAGATTATTGGACAAATATCACCGAGCCTGAGGAGATTTTTATCGCTGGAAAAGAGAATGTAGCCTTCCCTATGAAATATTTATCAGTCTGCAAGTTTTGATGCTGTGATGTTCTTATTGTTGAGACCGGTCTGTATATTACTCACACCCTTGGAATTTAAGTCAATTTAGCGTTAAAAAAAAGTTTTCAGACAAATGGAACTTTTCCCAGAAGTCGCTGTATACATAGATGCATGTGCATATATTGACGGCAAACTATTGATTTATCTTTGCTTGACAAGCAAAGTGTACATATACATAGGGGACTACGGGTTCTATGCACTGTCAGATAAAACATTGCAACAGAATATTTAAAGAGTCGAGTGCAAAGGAAGCCATTCCAAAAGGATCTCATTCCAGAGAGACATCTGCCCAAAAAGCAGTATGCTTATACGAGAAAAGAAAAGAAAAGAAAACTTAAGTAATTCAGATTTAATCAAATTTTTAACAGATGACAATATTAACAAGCATTACTTTCTTATCACTATTAACATGCATCACGAAAGAAGACAATTGAGCAATAACTATTATTCATGCTAATACTAAGTCAAGGCTTTGTCACAGTTTCTTTCTCAAAAAGATATTGTAGATGAATATGAAGAGTGATTTTATCCAACCGGTGAAATTGGTCATAAACTACTGTGCATTAAAAAATTTATGGTTTATGTCATGTTTTCCACACACAACATGGGGAGAACCAACAATCAAACATGCATGCTGGTGTCATACAGGTTTGTTTACATACTGTTTCATGGGTTGAGTAAAATCACTCTAGTTGTTCCTTTTTTAATGTTTCATATAAATTTTGGTTACCTTTTTCCTGCTATGATATCTTTTGTTGACAAAATCATCTTGATAAATAGGATACACTGTACGTGTTTGGAACAAATAAACACTTTTTTTGTGTCATTTAAGCAGGAGTGATTGGTGCTAAATATTTTTTCTAACCACATGTGCAAACCGTAATTAATCTAACTCAAAATTCAGGCTTAAATTGCTCATCTAACAAACAAATGGGTAGTTAAAAAAAAACTCCTTCAGTTGTACTTGAACATGCAACACTCCATGGAAATAAACATCTTCAGTACAAATAATTCAAGTAAATAACTTCAGGTAAAATACTGATTTTTGGAATTTGTGAAATATAAAGTAGACTACACTGCACTAATATACAATAAATCCATTCTATCCTTTTACTCACTTGCAACTATTTGGCTCTAACTGTTCAATACTATTTGACAGATTACAGAAAGTAACTCTGTCCTTCAAATTTGCCCTTATATACTTTTGAATAAAATAAAGCAGTTGACACCAGATCGAGGAGTCAAGGCTATTTTATTCACCCATTCACTCATAATGGTTGGTAAGATTTCTTTTTTATATGAGTTGCTGTAAACATAAAGATTTCAAATAAATTCTTTGCAATTTAAATGTTTGTGTCATTTTTTAAAATTTTATTGCTCTGGAAATGCACCGGATATGAAACTCTGGAACTAAACAACTCCAAAGGAGGTTTTGTGGACAAATTCATGGGTCTGATGTGAACATGCTTAAGAGGTCACATTCTCTATTGATGTTCTCTGGCCATGTCTAGGTACTGTATTCACAATTTGGAGCTGCGGAATTTTGGATATAACTTGAATTAGGCATGCTTCAAAACCCAATTGAAACTGTTAGAGTGAACGCATGACCTGTTAGGTATTTAATTATTAGTATTACACTGTGCCAAATAGCTTTCCTTTACTGATTTTATTTAAAATTACAAAAAGTCTTTCTCCTCAAGTTGCCTCCATTTCCAGTCTCTCCACATTCCATAGTGATGCTGTTTTGTAATGCTCAATAAGACCCATCCATCACTATCAACTTGCTTTAAGATACTTGCCGCATCAGTTCTGTGGTCTACTTGGTCCAAAATTCCAAGGCTCTATCCCACTTGTAATGAAAAATCTTTGTCTCAACCTACCCATCCTTACCTGCCTCCATTAATCAAAATTAACCTTTTTTCTGTTGTCATCACTGCATGGTAACACCCTCTTGGAACATTTATCCCTTTCTCCTTCCTTAGTTTGAAAAGATATTGCTCAGTGATGGCATTAAGGCCTTGGAATACCTTCCTTCCTTCCTTCTTTCAAATAGAGAATCTGTAGGGTTGGAATCTGTGAAGAAAATCAGTCTCCATTAGAAAAGAAACTTTAATGACACTCACCTAACGAAAGACTGTCTTTACCAAATTGGTATTAAAATGCACATTTGGCCTACTTTCATTGGGTTGGTTGGACTTCTTTGCTAATGAAATACCACTAACCTTGAGTATCAGTATGTTAATGATAATACGCTATGAATTAACTCAAAGGACAATAAAAACAACCTCATCCTTCTGTTAACCCAACAAACAAATTTAGCAATCAAAGAAGGAACATCAATCATTAGATGTAAGTGACCCAGACCAGGCCTTCAGTACTTATCCTTTCTTTCAACACATAAATCCACTAGGAGTATGGCTACTTAACCTATGGATATGATCCTGATCCATTGCACAATAAACCCCCCACCCTACATTCCATGACATTTTCCTGACAGTTTACAGGTAACCATTTATAATTATTCCTCCGATACATGCATGCATTGCCTTTTATGTGGAGTCATTAAGTGAGAGCACTTTTATTATAGAATATCAACATTCAAATCAACCTATTTACTTTTAACCCACTTTTTTTGGCAGAAATTACACAATGCCAACAAAAGTCATTATAGAGTTTTTTTACTAGAGGCATGAGGCCCATCCAGGTGCAGCTTATCCTGGTTTCCATAGCATGAAGCCAAAAGAAATATTACTACTTCCCCCTGAATGGGATGCTTAAGTCCATCTCAAGGTTACCCCCTGTATTTCATCAGGCTTTCCTGACAATTAACCACCACCTATTTATACTCCTGGGTAAAGAAAGGTTCTGTGAGAGTGAATTGTTTTGCCCAGGATCACAACACAATGACCCAGCCAGGTTTTGAATGTGGACTTCTACAACCGGAGCCCAGCGCACTAACCATTAATTAATAAATGTGATTCCTCAGAAAAAGAAACTCATCAAAAAATTTCTTTTAAACTTTCCTTAAATTCTTCCTACCAATGTTTGTTTGGAAAAAAAACATTTCAAAAGAAAGATCACTCAGTGCTTGTGTAAGAGATATGATGAGCCAAATTTATACTCCACAAATGCCTGTACAGGCACTAATCATATGCATCATTTCATTGGTTCAAAATACATTTTGAGGTAGTTGGAGGCAAGGGTTTTAAAGTAAAGCTTGAAAAAAACTTGATAGGTAGAAACAATTTGATGCATAATATAAAACAATTTGATACATAATTTGTGGAAAAATCATGCAATTTTAGATGAAAAAACGTTCCTTGAGTAATGGGCCTTTTGTATGGTTTTAACCATCTTTTTTTCCCTTCAATGATTTTTTTTTAATTTCTCTAATTAAAAGGGGATAATTTATTCATCAAAATTCTGCAACAAAAAATATAAGTCACCATGCTAGTTTAAGAGTTAAAAACAAGAGAGCCTCTTTACCTGGTCCATTTATTGAAAAACAATATCATGATCTTGGAATTCCCCTGATGACATGACTTTATTAAACAGGATGGGATGTGCAGTGCCTGAGGAATCACTTTAAAACACTAGGTGTCTTAATTACTAGAAACTAATCCCATACAAACAAGTTAAAATGACTTGATGTTTTTGCTTAGTAACAAGGACTGAGGCCTCCTGTCATTACAGTATTTAACCTGTAACATTTTTATTTCTGATCTCTTGCTGATTAATCAACAAGGTTTCTCACCAAGACAAAAAAAGTTACAACCTCTGGAAACCAAAGCATATATAGTTTACCTTGGCAACAATCCTCTGTAGAGTCCATGCCATCCATTTATCTTCTTTACATGACATGCTGCAGGATAAGGAGGTAAAAAAACAAAGAAACCTGAACAAATAGGTTACTTTTCTTGATTACCATGAGTATCTTGGTGTTTATTTTTTTTTTCAAAAATAGCTCTAGAGTGCCTTTGCACTCTATATAAATACATACATGTATTATCAACTAGAAATTGTGTTGTCATCTTCACATGCTGATCAAGTATAAACCTATATTACAGAAACTGTCCATCATGATTGTTTTTAAGACAATGCAAAGGACAAATGTAAGTCATTTGCCAGAAAACTAATCTGAATTTCGTTATAATGCTTTTTCACTGTAGCCACATAACCAAATACAATAAGTGATCAGAAAATGGCTTATCAGAAATTAAAATAAGAATCACATGGAGCCAAATCAGAACTTGAAGTGAAAAAAGCACAGCTGGAAGTGTGGGAAAATGCAAGTGAGAAAGTTGAAATTTAAGTTCCAGTTTTGCATCTGATTTGTTGAGAGGGTGGCAAGGGTTTTTCAGACCAACCACCAGGAAAGTAAAAAAATGGCAATCCCAGTTTGCTTCCAAGATCTGATTGATAATTACTCTATTTGATTCCTTTAATTGCAAACACAAGGCAAGCCATGTATCAATCTCCTCAAAGCTTACATTTAAGTAGTTTTTTATGTACTGGTAATACTGTGCTGTATTTTTTTAATATGTCTTTTAATGAATTAGTGTGAAGAAATAATGAATAACAATCTTCTTAAATTCCTTACCATACTGGTAAAATGTTGTGAACTCAGTTGGAGAAATAGGTTCATGTCCAACCTTAACACAAATTTAAAATAATTTCATTTTAAACACTCCGTGACTAAAAGTATCAGGTGAAATACAATTCAGGTGATCAGTTAAAATGACCTGTGGAGATAGCTTTCCACTTACAATGCCTTGCCACCCAAGTTCTAAGCCTCCTCTAATTAAACCTTTAACTCCCATAAGTGACCAAGACAGAATTTCTCCTTACAGTATCAATACAATATCAAGCAGAAAAGCAATGAGAATAGAGAAAAGTATCAGTTACATGTAGAGGAATATTAGTTGATTCAATACCAAACTCTCAAAACTAACTTAATGAGATTTGTGAAAAAAAAGGAAATAATTGCCAAACTAAGAAGTTTTACATGTTAAATGAATTCTCCTTGTCAGAACCAAAGCAAATGTATAAAGAAGGGTATGGAGAATATGGATTCTGATGTTAGAGTGTACAGGGCAATAAAGTTCAGTATTTGAGAAGATCATCAGGTTTGCCAAAATACCAATCTAATGTCTGAAAATAAGTCAGCCTCTGCTGATCTGATGTTGAGCACCAAACCAAACAAACCTGCCACATTTTACTGATTAAAACAATGCTCTAATTCATTTGTAAGGCTAAGACCACGAGTGGTGTAATATCTGACCTGAGTTACCTACAGCTGTAGCTGCGAGACCTTACTGATTCAAAATGAAGACCACCAGAGGAGTAGACTTCTCCTTGTTATCAACAAACTCCAGCTGTTCTTTTTGCTATGATCATGTTGATCACATTACTATGCACTCTACTACCCTCACTACCCCCCCCCCCCTCAACTTCATGGAACCCATTATATTGGGAAAAAGCAACCACTCCCTCACTTCAAATTTATACGTATTTTACCCCTGATGATATTTTCAGAGCAAGTAAGAAGAGAGAGTTTTGTTTTTAGTTTATAGAGGAAGTTAAAAATTCCCTGTTAAAATGAAGGAAGGAGGTTCCACAGGATAGAAATATGAATACTGAGAGTTGTCACGCAAACATTAAGTTGAACTTTGGGTGCCAGTGTCACAGCGGATATGGACCCCCCCGATGCAGATTTGGACCCAAACTTTCCTTTTAGCATCATTTGTATCACATTTGGCACCTTATTCTATGTGCAAGCTTTTTGTCTATGTTCTTTTCAATCACAACACAAAATTCTTCAGTAGAGATAAAAATAATTAGCCATTTTATTCCAATTCTACTGCATTCATTATAGCGAGTTGTACAGTATATGCAAGAATTAAATGCAACCAAACTACAGCATTTGAACTATTGAAATTGTTGTAATAAATCCTTATCAACATTGTTACGAATGGTCATAACAATAGTGGAGAGTATTGCATCCAGTCTAAAAAATAACTCCGTCTGATTTTCGTATTATAAATAACATATTTAAACAGTTTCTGAACAAGAACGAAGTAACTACTCTTACTACAAGTCGTTCGTAAAGCCTATTGTAGGTTATTGAACATCCACTCGACCGAACACTAACTAGACTAAAAAACCTAAAAGGATTGTTAGTTTAACTTATTTTCAATCATTAGGAATACAACAAGTAACACAAACACAACTGGATGTAAATTTTAGTGAGCGTTCTCGGCTAACGAAAAATTGGTATCCGGACAACTCGCCCCCTGGACAATTAGCCCCAGACGACTAGCCCCCAGTCTCTGGACAATTAGCCCCCAGTATTTGGATGATTAGCCCCCAGTCTCTGGATTATTAGCCCCCAACCCACCAACCTTGAAATAAATTATGTTCTTGCCCTTTACTTTTTACGAACGTTTCCCTATCATATATTATGAAATAAACAATGTTCTTGTTATTTGCTTTTTACGAACATTTCTCTGCCATGCGTGTTAAATTATAAAGTAAACTACGTTCTTGCTGTCTTGTTGTTTGCTTGTTATGAACGTTTCTCTGCCATGCGTATCGAATTATAAAGTGAACCGTGTTCTTTCTGTTTATATATTCTACAAAAATGAACTGTGTTCTTTCTGTTTACATACTTTACGAATGTTTCTCCATCATGTTGTTTAAATAGGAAAGGAAAGAAACCAGGGACGAAACTTCGAAACTTTAACTTATTGGCGACTACTTGTTTATGTCAATCGGTGTTTATTTAAATGTCAATAAAGATAGACATTCGTAAAAAAAAGGGCTCCTTTAGGAGCCACAAACTCATAAAAGTCAATGACCAAAAGATGAACGTAACTTCTCCTTTACATAAACTAAGACTGGGGGCTAATCGTCCAGGGACTGGGGGCTAATTGTCCAAAGACTGGGGGCTAATTGTCCAGAGACTGGGGGCTAATCGTCTGGGGCTAATTGTCCAGGGGGCGAGTTGTCTGACATTCGAAAAATTGAAAAACTTAATGTAACAGTAATGGATGGAGCAGCAGAATTTCGTTGTAGGATGCGAACAGTGGATTCCCGATTTTTCGAGTCTCCAAGGGAAATGAAAATCAGTTGGAGTAATTATGTTGACTGGGGAAAGGGGAACGACTTTTGGTTCGAGTTATCGAGGGTTACGATCGACAAATCGAGGACCCAAGCAATTGGGATTCCACTGAAGTTTCACACTTAGTGTTAGCATATCTATCGTTTCATATTTCCCACCTTTTTCGAGAGAATAACAAAAATCAAACGTTTTCAAGTTTCACGGCTCGTTTTTATACCAGAGTTAAGCCATTTCATTCTCGTTAACGAAAATCCTAGATTGTGACGGCATGCTGAGAAGAGGGTAACATAAATACGTATGTTTTGAATTAAAACAAACTTTAATATACACTGCAACGTAAAGTATTATCTATTTCTAATAGAATGTTAAGGATGATGTTTTCACACTGTTTTGTTGAGGGAAGGGGGTCTAAATCCGCCAGCGGATTTGGACCGGAGGGTAAATATCCGCTTGGACACCGGTAAAGTATCAAAGTAAAATTGTGTCATTTGACATTTATAGTCCATTACCTGCACCAGAAGTCGAACACATGTTAGTGGCTGAGCTGCTGCGGTCATAATAGCGTTGAAAACGAAAGTAGCTGTTGTGCCTTCGTTACCCAAGAGATCTTCCAGGCTTTGCCCACTTCCACTTCTCCCACGTGCAGCCGCCATGTTGAGTTGCTCGTCAGAATGGGTCAGCATTAGATTCCATCCACCAAAACCACCTTGGTCGAGAGGGACTGAGACGGAATGATGGACAACTCATGACTTATTATACTAAATGAAAATTACGAAGCTACGACGACATGCCGACTTATTCCGATGACCAAAGTGTATTATTTGTTCGGGAAATTGCGTCAAAACTTTTTACTCAAGAAATGGTGAGTATTAATTTATTGTTCGATTGTAGTATTATAAAACATTTTACGCAATTTTATGCAGATATTTCACGTATTTAAAAGGTGCCCAGATGTTACGTAGTTTTGCTGGATGTCATTAGGGAACATCCACCAAAACTTTGACCAAAACCATCAACAATATATTTTTTTAATTTTATCTATAGCCACTGTTAGATGTTCAGGGAGACAAAAGATTTATACCAATAATTAGCAGTTAGTGCTCTGGCTAATCATTTTTTATGGTGCACAATTATTGCTGACCGACCAAACGTTCATAATGATTATCATAACTCGTAACACATAGAATAAAGTGGTTTTGGTGGATGTTTCTCTCCATCCACCAAAACCACCATAGCAATTTCTGCTACTTCCTTACAGAAGACTGATGTGACCTACTATTTGGAGTACATAACCACAATCTATTTATTTGTATGTAGTGATATTTTGCAAAGTTCTTGAGTCAGCACCTTTTATTATTGAAACCATAATCATAACATGGTGCACAATATAGAATACAAAAGGTTCTGGTGTGGCAATCATGTAATCTTGAAACAGGAGAGTTTTTAACTGACTTAAACTAACTTAAACAGACATTTGCAGCAAAATTCCAGGTCCAGAAATTTCTTCCACTATTTCTGCTAAAATCATAACCTTTAAGTACAACAAATCAGCACATCAGTAATTGTTATCAGGGGTCTGAAAATCCTATAAATCTTTCACATTTATTTCAAGTAACCTTTAATTTCACATGGATGAATAAGTATACACTCAAGATGCAGAATGTCTTACGTTTTACAAATTATTTCCCTTTTTATGGATAGACAGTGAAAGGCCTTTGCCACATTGGTGAATCAAACCATTGAATACCATGCATTTTGTGATAATTGTTTGTTTTTGCTTGCAATATCCAGAAAAATGGAGGGGATAAATTTAAATAGCAAATTCTATTAATGGTTAAAATTAAATAACATTGGAAGATCAAATTAACTTTGTACTGTTTAAAATTCAGTTTTGGTTTCTTGCTTATTCCAGCCTCTTAATATTCAAAAGCATTCCTTGTCATTTTTGTGTTCTTTTGTGTAACATAACTTGAAAAATAAACACAGAGAAAGGAAACCACAAAGGATTAAACTTGAAGCTAAAGCAAAGTTTAAGTTGAGCCATAGCTAATCCAAATACTGAGCACTTTATATTGTAACCCATTTAGCGGTAAAGTAAAGTTTATCTATATGTCTGCTTTTCATAAGTCTTACCCCTCTCCTTCAAAAGTCTCTATAAATAAATTTTTCTTTGTGGTCTCTAATTGATGATAAGTATATTACAGCTCCTCAATTTCCCTCTCTCAAGACAAGGTTACTCTAAATTTAACAAAGTAATGGACTTGATAAAACTCAAACTATAACTCAGCTGGCTGCTACTTGCAACCTTAATTTCTTGATATCAGTTTACAATAATCAATATGTTGTAAATAAGAACCCTAATGCTTAATTTTGCATTGATCACCTTCCTCCCTTTCATTTGCAGACCAGACTGGAACCACTATAGGTGTGTTTGCTTGTTTTGAGTGGGGATGGAAGAAAAGGAGTCATGCCACATATCTGATTTATTAAATTGCATTTGTTCTGTTTATACATGAGTAGAACTACCTTGTTCTCTGAAAAAAATAAAATTTCTCACATTTTTATTTGTGCTTTTCAGTCAAACTTCCTTGTGTCTTGGACAAGAAATCTTATTTTCTTGAAAACAAAATCTTTTTTTCCGGTCTTCTGTAATAGGTAAATATAACAGTGTAAGATGAGCGACAGTGTATTTCTCAAGTCATTTTTTGGAATGTGACAAAACGGAAGTGTCATAGCGTGATAAGGAGCCAACATATGATTGCTTGATAGCAAGCAAAAAATGCAGAATTGCATACATTTTCTCCTTTGTCAGCAGCATATGTTAGTGAAAAGTTCTTATAATTGTTAACTTCTAAACCATCTTCAATTTAGCCAAGATTGAACTGTTATCACGTTTGTCATAAAAGTATTCTGAGATCAATGTCATATGACCCATTCATGTATTTGACCTTTCGAATTAGCAAGCCATAGTTGACAGTAACACAAAGGTTGAGGATAAAAAGAAATTATTATATACAGTACTTCTTCTACATTTTTTCTCTTCCCTTTCTCTCCAGCTGTTCTATCTATGCCATACTGGCAATTGAACACTTTCCTTCCAAAAATCAGGAAAGGCACACCAGAAAAAAAACGAATTTTTGCTCCTTAAATATCTTATGCATCTTCCCCGAGTTTTTTTTTGTATTTAAGGTGAACGGCCAGGCTCCCGTGAGGGCGGTGCAATGCCTGCCGATCTATAGACCTTTGTCCAACCCATGGCTGAAAGTGCAATGCCTTAGGGTTGGGTCCACCATAAACCGAGGGCCACCAGACACCAACTTCGTTGGGGAATCGAACCCCACCTCGCCAAAATTAACACACACACTCCAAAAATTGGGCACACTCTCTCACGAATCACAGAGACACAAAACCAAACGGACACTACTAACACAAAAGACCCTCGCACAGTACACCAGTTAAGGAGACCCAGTGCAGGGGGTCACACCACCGGATACAACACAGACCGCCCAGATTAGGGCCATGCATCACAAAAAACCTCCGTGCAGTACACCAATAAAGGAGACCCAGCACAAGAGGACACAGAACAAGAACAAAACGAACACAATGCCCAGATTAGGGCCATGCAGCAGAAACCTCCGTGCAGTACACCAATCAAGGAGACCCAGCACAGGAGGACACAGAACAAAACAAACGAAATGCCCAGATTAGGGCCACCCAACACAGAACACAAACAGACAAAAACCACAATGCCCAGATTAGGGCCATGCAGCGCGCGGGAAACCGGTTACAGGGCAAGGGAGAGGTGACCATCTGAAACGGTGGCGACGACTCCACGGGCACCCCACTGACGGTGGAAGAAGCGACGACGGCGAGCGGACTGAAACCGCTTGAAGAAAATGGGTAGATGGAATCTCAAACGAGACTTCACCCTCGCGATCACCGCAGCAGCGCCGGGACGAACAGCACGGAAACGAAAGTCGTTACGGGATTGCCAGATGAAATATTTACAAAGGTTCAACAAATACACAAAGACCCGGGGAGTGACAATCAGCTCATCAGAGCTGAAACCGAAGAGAACATGCCGACAAAGAAGAGCAGGACACATAAAAGAAAAACTGAACAACAGAGACTGAAGCCAGGAGAGAACACTCTGGGCAAGGGGGCAGAAGAAGAACAAATGCTCCAAAGACTCCACAGGAGACCCACAAAAACAAGAAGGGGGAACGGGCAATCCAAAGGAAACAAGACGCTGTGCGGTGTATAAGACGCCGTGCGCAATCTTCCAACATAGATCGGTGACTTGACGATCGAGATCAAAAAAGGTCAGCGAGCGCCACGTGGATGGCCAATCCAGCGAACCATACACTGGGAAAAACTTTCCCACGCAATGCGGCGGAACCATGTTCTCAGATAAGAGATACAGATAGCAGCTTTTTGTGGACATAACAGCCACAGGGCAACAAACATGAGGGCAGGACGAACCAAAAACGAGAGAGTTACGGGCCGTGGCGAAGGAACCATTGAGGCCCCGCCAGGCCAAAAGAAGGGAGGAATAGAAAGGTGGCAATACCCTGGGATCAAAACAAAACGGCCTGGAAAAAACGACAGAGGGCGAAACACCAAAGGACGACACAAACCAGAATGACATGAGTGAGGACCAACCAGCGGAAGAGGAGGCGAACCTCCGCACCCACTGGCCGAGAAGGGCCCACACCTTGTACTGCACACTAACAACAGAGAAACCACCAAAAAGAGAGGACTGAATCACGACAGAGCGAGAGACGAGCTCCCGCTTGCCGGACCAGAAGAAAGAGAAAGCTAAAGAAGAGAGCTCTTTCGCCACCCAGGCGGGCATGTGGACCAAAGATGCCACATACCACACCCGAGAAAGGGCAAGAGCATTGATAACCAGGGCTTTGCCACGAAAAGACAAACAACGAGAACGCCACGATTTGAGAACATGGTCCACCGCTTCAATACGGGGACGCCAGTTATCAACATCCAGATCTCCAGCACCAATAAAAACACCCAAAACCTTAATTTTACAAGAAGACCACTCGAGGGCAACTGGAGGGTCAGTGCGACCACACCAGCCCCCCAACCAAAGACCCTTGGATTTAACCTGGTTTAACTTGGACCCAGAGGCTCTTTCAAAAAGAGCGTAGGTCTCAAAAACCGCTTCAATTGCATCATCCGAAGAAACAATAAACGACGTGTCATCAGCATATTGCGAAATGGGCGAAAGAGGGGGAAAGCCGGGAAAGTGCAGACCAGGAATGCGGGCATTGCAGCGGATGTTGGCTGCAAGAACCTCAGATACGAGGACATACAGAAGGGGGGACAAGGGACAACCCTGTCTCACCCCCCGCGAAAGATCGAAAAAGCCCGAGATGTAGCCGTTGACATTAACACTGGACTGAACACTGCGATAGAAAAGATCCACCCAGGCGACAAAAGACGGACCGAAGCCCATTGCCACGAGAGTGGAACGCATAAAACCCCAGTCCACACGATCGAAGGCCTTCTCTTGATCGAGGGAGAGAATGGCCACTGGAGCCCCAGAAGAGGAAGCAAACGCGGCCACATCCCGCAGGAGGGCCACGTTCTCACCGATGTAACGGCCAGGGACCCCACAAGTCTGGTCCTCCGCCACCAAAAGATGGATGACCTTTAACAACCGGCCAGCAATGGCTCTAGACGCAAGCTTATAGTCGACGTTGAGGAGGGTGATCGGCCGCCAGTTGCGGGGATCTAACCGATCACCCTTCTTGAAAGACAGGGAAATAACACCTCTGCGCTGAGAGAGAGAGAGACAGCCAGAATCGAAAGAAGAGTTAAGAACAGAGACAAGGTCGGAACCCAGAACGGACCAGAACTTCAGATAGAACTCCATGGGAAGGCCATCCAGCCCGGGGGCCTTACGCCTGGCCATCCCACGGAGAGCAACCAGAACCTCCTCCACGGAGAGGTGACCCTCGCAAAGGGAGGACTGATCATCAGGGAGAGAAGATGACAAATTCCCCAAGAGATCAGTCTGGATGCGAGGGTCAACCGAGGAGGCAGAGAAGAGACCGGAAAAGAAAGATGACCAAGAAGTACAAAGATCACGAGGGGAGGAGACAATAGAGTCGTCCTCATCCCTCAGCGCAGAGATCCACCTATCAGAGCCACGCTTCCGTTCGAGGCGGAAGAAGTACGATGAGGAAGATTCCCCCTCTTCAACCCACTTTGCACGAGAACGAACTTGAGCTCCCTTGGCCACATGGGAGTCAAGAGCAGCCAATTCGGCCAGAGCCGAATGATAAGGGCCGAGACATGATGATGAGCCCAGATCAACTTTGGCTTTAAGGTGATCGATCAACCGGACCAAAAGGTCCCGGAGACGTGACCGAGCACCAGCCTTCTCACAACAATAGCGAATCGTAAGTCCCTTGATCAAACTCTTCCCCCCATCCCACCACTTCACCAAGGAGGGAAAGCGGGCGACAGAGTTTCGCCACGACCGCCACGCGTTTGATATTAACTCCACGTACTCAGGGTCATCAAGAACGGAGATGTTCAACTTCCAGATGCCTGGACCAGGGGGAACAGCGTCCGGGATGGAACAAGAAAGAAAGACACCACAGTGATCAGAGAAGGGACAGGGGACGAAGGAACAAGAAGAGACAGAGGGCACCCACGAAAAAGGAACACCAAAAAGGTCAATACGAGAGGCAAGACTGCCATCCCACCTGGTCCAGGTAAACCCAACAGAAGAGGGGTGGAGATACCTCCATATGTCCACCACACAGCAGTCGTCGAAAAGATATTTAAGGGAGGAAGAGCTATCGCGAGAGGAGACAGAGGGATCAGAGCCAGCCCGATCAACGGAGCGATCAAAGACCTCATTAAAGTCACCACAGAGAATCGTGGGGACCGCGGGATCGATCTTGGAATGGAGGTCTCCAAAGAACTGGTCCCGCGCAGGGTTGCGGTTAGGTGCGTAAACACAACAAACACGAAAAGAGCTACCGAAAAAAGAGAATTCAACCTGCAGGTAACGACCGGAAACATCACACCAAGAGTTGACCAGAGACAACGAAGGACGAAACAAAACAATACAACCACACGAATGAGACGACCCAGGAGAGACAACAGCAGAAAAACCGGAAGAGCGAAACCACAAAGAACACTCAGAAGGTGATAGACAGTGGGTCTCCTGGAGGCAGACAACGTCTGCCCCAACAGGGAGAGACCGCAACCACTGCACCAAACCAGCTCTTTTGGACTGATCTCTGATCCCATTACAATTCAATGACAGGATAGAAAACATGATGAGAAAAAGAAAAAAGGCACCCATAACGTTATCAGGAAGGGGGGCCCCGGCTAGAAGCTGTCCTGGCGGCCAGAGACACACTCGCAGGGAGCGAGTGGCAACCGGGAGGCCCGGAAGTCTTCTTAGAGATTTTCGACTTGCCCCGCTCATTCGAAGATGAGCCAGGAGCGAAGCCCGACGGTGCTGCCGAGTCCTCCAAAGGAGGCTTTGGAGCTGACCGCTTGCGATGGTTAGAGGCAGGCATCATCTCGGCATCCACAGACGAAGCGGGAGAAACCTCCACACTAGCGTCAGGGACAGGCTCACCCAAAACATTACTAATTAAATCAGCTGATGAGCAGCTTTTTGGCCCATTATCAGCAATAGCTTTTCCATTATCTAGCTTATTTATATTAATAGCATTGCTTGCAGAGCTTGCAGCACAAATAGAACTGTTGCTTACATTAACACTAGCATTACTACTATTGCTTACTTTACAGCTATCGCTTACTACACTAAAAGCATTATCTATAACATTTGCATTACCATTGTTAATTATATAGCCTTGACTATTTAGCACGGTGCTAGCAGCGCTGCTATCCCCACACACACTCGAATTAGGTTCGCTCTCAGGAACCGAGACGGGGGTAACCCCACCGTCCAAAGAAACACCCCCACCAGATGAAGGGGGGGCAGGAGAAGAAAGGGTCTGGCTAGATGGGCCAACCCCCGCCACAGAAACGGGTTCTGTATGATGAGCTTCAACGACCGGGGGCCCTCCACCAGCGGACTCACCCGGCTCAGAAACAGGCAGACCACGATTGGGCAATGGGCCCCAGGCACCCCCCCCATAGAAACCTGAACGATCAGGGCAGTCGCGGGCCATATGCCCCTGTTGCCGGCAGTGGAAACAACGACCCTTGTTAGGGCATCTTCCCCGAGTATTTTGTGACTTCTGTCTGAGGAAGGAGGTGCAAGCATTAAATTAACCCGAATGATTCCACAATTGTGGTATCATCCAAGCCATGCCAGAGGACTTGAACTAGATAAACTAGTGAGCATGCACAATAGCGATAGCAAAGCTTTGTAAAGCCAAAGAGCTATATCAAAATATATATATATATATATATATACACACACCGGTGTTCCCGAAACCTTTGACAGCTTTAAAGAAAGAAAACTTCGTCGTCAATCCTGTTTCAAATTCCGCAATAAGTTTATGCACCTTATCAACAGAATTTACGTATCCTAAATTATCTGCATGTCTACCGTCACGCAATGGTTCGCGACTTAAAATTCTCGCTATGCTGTTTCTGTTTGTTCCTCAAGAATCATGGGATTTACAGCTTCGGATGTTCGGCTACATCACTTGCGGATTTCCGAGAATCTTTGGTTATGTTTTGCAAGTCATTAAATATTTCAACTCAGTCCCTCTCGACCGAGGGGGTTTTGGTGGATGGAATCTAATGCTGACCGTAAGAATGAGGCTAGGCTTTATATTCATCCGGCTCGATAAAATCTGGATCGGATCGGATCGGATCGGATCGGATCACGGATCGGTTCACGGACCGTATTATGGATCAGATCACGGATCGGATCACGGATCAGAGCAAGGGTCGGATCACGGATCAGATCAAGGATCGGATCACGGACCGGATCATGGATCATGAATCGGATCATGTCAATTGAAATTAGAAATTTTGCGTGACATGCCAAAATGAAGTCTGCGTGACATAATGGAGTGTAGGCCCCACTAGGAGTTTTCTTTTTTTTTTGCCCAAACACCCAATGTAGTCACTTTCACGACTGTGTCGAGGAGCGTTGTAAGTTGGTAAGTGAGTAAGCTGATCAGGAAGCATCGTGACTTGCACAATTCTAGCTTGGCTACAATAATTTCAAAGTACGTTTGAACCAGGGAAGGTATGTTCCTCCACTTTCCCGCTGGTTATCTCGGTGTAAGAACCTGTGAAACATTTTCTGTTTTGTCAGTGTTATTTTCCTAAGCTGCTTAGTGATCTGACTTCCCCGTTTTCTAACAGGTTCCTGCATCAACGATGAGTTTGAAGCTAACATAATTTTATTAATTATAAAATAACATCACACCAATTGTGCATTCGTAAAAGTAAAAGAGCCTTGTGAGTTCAATGGAAGCTTATGTAGCTGTAAGATTGCTCTTAACCTGCATTTTGTTATAAAGTAAAAGTGCAAGTCTTACCAGGCTAGATGTAAACACATCTTTCTGATCCAAGTATCGCTAAACTTCTCCCCGCCTTTCAGAGCATTTCATTAACTAATATTGATCAGAAAAAAACAAAATTCGTCCGAACGCCCTAAATAAAAAACAAACCTTAATAAAATGAGTAATCAGAGCCCCTGCAATTTCCAGACATGCACGCGTTGTCCACACGGTTTTCGAAAAAAACCCGGGACATTGAAAAACGTTAAGTCCCCCGGGGCGAAATTGCGTTCGAAATGGGACTGAACGCGGACAATTTTTTAGTCTTGACGGAATTGAAATTAATTTTTGCGACGAGAAAAATTCTCAAAAAGCTTCAATTAAAGTGCTCAGTAGAAAACTCAATTTGCCCGCCGGCGATCAATCTGAACATACCGACGAGCACGGCTGTTTACAACATGGACAAATTTTTTTGATAAAAAGTGAGCCTTTGATTTGAATGGACAGGAAAATAATTCATATTTAAACCAGTTTTACATATTTTTTTTTTTAACTGAGCCGAGAAAGGAGCTGATAGTCGTTGTTAAAATTATTTCTACTATTTCTATCGTATATCATTTCAAGAATTTAAAAAAAA